CCCGGCTCATTTTTTTGATTTATTGTAGAGATGAGGTCTTGCCAAGTTGCCCAGGCGGGTCTCGAACCTGCAGGCTCAGGCCATCCACTCACGTCAGCCTCCCAACGGCGTGGGATTACAGACTGAGCCACCGAGCCTGGCTTAGCTTTTTATTTTATTTTTATTAATTTTTTAATTTTTTCTGAGTTGGAGTCTCACTCAGTTGCCAAAACTGGAGTGCAGTGACCACTCCTGGCCACCGCAGCCTCGACCCGCTGGGCTCCGGCGATCCTTCCACTTCAGCCTTCCGAGTAGCTGGAATTACAGGCATGCACTACCACGCTCGGCTGATTTTTTGACTTATTGTAGAGATGAGGTCTCACTTCCCAGGCGGGTCTCAAACCTGTGGGCTTAGGCAATCCACTCACCTCAGCCTCCCAAAGGCACAGGATTACAGGCTGAGCCACCGAACCCGGCAGCTTTTTAAAAAATAGACCATGAGGCTAGCCTCAGTAAATATCACTATATTGAAATCATTCTGTGGTCAGAGGATATTCTCTGATCACAGTGGAATAAAGTTAACGTTCAACAAAAAATACAGGAAATCTGAAATTGCTTACAACGTAATACATTTGTAAAAAAAAAATCTGCAGATCAAATAAATTTAATGAAAATTAGAACATTAGCAAATATTAAATTATAATTAAGGTGTAGGAGTTATCAGAATTTGTGGGCTCAACTAAAGCAGAGCTTTTAGAGGACAATTTATACCTATAAATATAACATTAGAAAAAAAACAAGACTAGGCTAGGCTTGCTGGAGCATATCTGTAATCCTAGTACTTTGGGACAGGAGAATCACTTGCGACCAACTTGGTCAACATAGCAAGAGTCCACGTATACCAATACATTTTTGAAAATTAGCTGGCCTACCCGGACTCAGTGGCTCAGCCTGTAATCCCTTGTTTGGGGAGGCTGAGGTGAGTGGATTGCCTGAGCCCGTGGGTTCGTGACCTGCCTGAGCAACTTGGTGAGACCTCATCTCTACAATAAATCAAAAATTAGCTGGACATGGTAGTGCGCGTCTGTAGTTCCAACTACTTGGAAGGCTGAGGTGGAAGGATCGCCTGAGCCCAGCCGGTCAAGGCTGCGGTGGCCGGGAGCGGCCACTGCACTCCAGTTTGGGCGAGAGTGAGACTCCAACTCAAAAAAACAAAATTAGGTAAGTATTGTGGCGCATGCCTGTAGTTGGAAGGCTGATTGGGAAGATTGATTGCACCATTGCATTCCAATGTGAGTGACAAGGTGGAACTTTTGTTAAGAAAAAAGGGGGGAATTGGGGAGAAAGGACAGAAAAAGATCTGAGTATTACCTCAAACTTAAGAGCTAGAAGAGCACAATAAGCCCAAAGTAAATGGAAGGAAATTTTGTAAAACTTGCAGGAAATGATGAAATGGATATTGTTGCTGTTGCAGGAAAATGGAGAGACCATGACACCGAGGCTATTTCAGGAAGCAGTG